GGCTGGAGCTGGCTGCTGCTAATTAACAGGCATCTGCTAGGTCAGAAACCCCTGTGGGAGGTGAGCCTGGGGACAGAAGGGGTCTGGGGGATGGGGCTGGACTAGGAAGGGATGGAAGAACAGTGGGTTCCTGGGGAGCAAGCGGGGGTCCTGCTTTGCAGACAGGCTGCTGAGACCTTCCCATTTGGACACACACATGTGCTACAGCTTCCACAGAGGGTCTGCACAAGCTCTGTCCTCTGGCACTCACAAGTTGGAGGTTATGTGTCCCCCATTGCCTGCTCACCCCTCATCATCCTTCCCCCTTTGCACCCGGTGCCATGCAGGGAGGAGCTCCAGCTGCGTGGTCACTGCCTCATGGGAATGGGAGGATGGTGGGGCTGTGGATGTGCCGGCTACTTGGGCATCCTCTGGATTCTAACCAGGAACTCTTGAACTTGGAGCTTTAGGAAAATATCTGGAAGTGAAACCAGAAAAGGCAGAAAGGGTGGCTGTGACAGTGGGGTGGGGGCTGCTTTCTTTCCCCCTTCTCTATCAGTGCCTGTCTGTGGGCTGGTCCCCAGCGAGGCTGTCGGACCTGTCAGCGCTTGTGGTCACTGCTGCAAGCTGGCACTCCACGTGCCATGGCAGCGACACGCTTGTGTTTGGCAGGGTGCGAGGGGGCATTGGCAGAGCCACCGAGGGTGCCGTGAGCTGCGTGGCAGAGCGAGGAGAAGCCTTGCCATCTGCTCTTTCTTCAGCGCCAAAGTGTAAAGCAAACATAGCTGGGAGCTATGAAACACCAGGAGGGAAGGGGCCATGCCTTGTTCCAACGCCAGGGCCTGAGGATCCCGCAGGCAAAGCACGTGTTTGTCCTGGTGTCGTCAGCTGTGCTGGCAACGTAAGCCCGGCACTAGGGCCTTGCTGAAACCCTCACATCCAGCATCTGTCCCTCTTGGCTTCGGTACCCCCAATGGCAGCACTTCATCAGTGACTGTCACAAAAAGCTGTGAAGGGGAGAAGCCTCGCAAAGTCGGTTGCAACCTTCTCGCAGCATTTCCCTCGCGAGCTGTAAGCAAGCAGCTTGCAGACAGATGCCTGGGTTTGCTCCCCGGGTGCGCTGGGACTCCCATGTGCCGCGAGCGGAGAAACACAAGCGAGGTTTCCATGGGGGAACCAAACAAGCTGCAGGCAGGGGCTGCCCGGGCAGGCAGTGCTGGAGCTGGGGAGGGGGTGCAGGGCACCGAAGCGTGATGGGTGCTCCCGTACTTGGCCCTGCTGTGACCGATTTAATGTTGAAGGACAGGCAGAAGCCAAGAGGGAGTGCGATGCATTGAATACATTGCTAGGAAGAGTGGTGAACTTTGGGGGTTTCCAGAGGGTTTTCTAGGGGATTCTTTCTTCAAGGAACCAAAAGGGAAAAGGGGATTTGGGGTGATGCTGCATTTTTCTGAAAGGTCAGTGCAGTTCCTGGGGGTCCCCAGGCTCATTGCATCCCCAGCAGAGTTTGGGGAGGGGTCGTTTGCATCTGAAGGGGTGCTGGGGTGTCGGGGGTTGCTGCAGATCCTTCCACTTTGGAGAGTGTGAAGTGATCCCAATCCCTTCTCTGGGGCTCAGCGCAGAGCCCTGGGAAGGGCTGGAGCAGGCAGTGCAGACAGCGCAGGCAGGGCAGCCTGGCAGTGCCGCCGTGTGGGTAGCGATGAAACTGCGTCTGCTGTGCAACCAGGAGCCTAGGCTCTTCCAGGGGTGGCATCTCCCTTCCTCTGCCCCAGCAATGGTGCTTTGCCAACGGGTTTGGTACCCCAGGAATGAGCCAGAGCGATGCACCAACCTCTGCTCCCCTGCACACGAGCAGGGGCTGATGCATCGCTCTGGCACTATATGCCAATTCCTTGGTGGCTGGGCATCCCACCAGAGGTTCTTGGGTTTTCCTTCTCCTCATGCATCTGTGCAAGAGATGCTGGTGCTTCTCTCTGTGAATATTTACCCATCGTGGCAGTGAAACTTTTGGCTTGAGTAAAGTCCTGATTTGGAGACCTCCAAGTCTTTCACAAGCAGTTTGTGGGCCATGCTGAGCCCCTTTTCTGGAGGAAATAGGGGCATGGAGAGATGTGTGGATGCTGTGCTTCCATCCTGACCCAGCCTAGCTGTCCTGGGATATCAGTAGCGAACAGGCTTTGTTATGTGGAAGCAGAGCTGGTGAGCACTGAGTGAACATCCAGGGACACCCCAGACCACCTCTCAGGGCTGGGATGGGGGTGTCTGCGTGACCTGTGTAATGCTAACGGGTGCTTAATCCATGCAGGTTGCCCTGATCCTGCTTCTCACTCACCTGTGGACTCACTGCATAGGACAAATGCCTTGCCTCAGTTTCCCTGTGCCAGGAGGGAGCTGGGGACTTGGCCTCCTGCCCCATGGGCAGCTGGAGCGGGGCTGTGCTGATGTGGGTCTGGGGGCAGACAATACAGGCACCTGCCAAGCTGAGGGGAGCTCCTGGCTCTTGGGTGGGAGAGAGAACAGCAGCACGGGAGCCGTGAGGCACAAATACAATAGGCAGGTCTCCCGAGGATGGGGTGGGCTGAGTGGGTCCACCCAACCCTACGTTGCAGTGAGATTTTTGGCCTTCATGTTTGTTAAAAGCCAGCCCAGGCATGGTGGGGGGTCTGACCTGCTGCCAGCCCTGCAAACACAGAGCCTGCGCCGGCCCGGCACACCCCGGCATTGCAGAGCGAGTGATTACACGGACAGTGCCGTGTAGTGATGAAGTAATTAATGACCCGATTATTTGTGCCCTCTAAAGTGCAGGGCAGGCTCCATGGGAATGCCTGCTGGAGCCGCTAAGTGTAATTACCAGTTAATCAGCGGGGACCTGTAATTATAGCAGTCGTGGGGTATTTAAGTACAGAGGGTTTTCCCAGAGCTGTGCCCTGCTGCTCTGCTTATCAGAGCCAGGGACAGGTGGCCCCTCCAGGGACCTGCAGCCACCATGGATGGAGCTGGACTTGCCTCACAGGGCAGTGGGCCACCAAGGACCTGAAGCCAAATTGCAGTTTCTCAGAGCCCCTCAGGGATCACTGAGTGCTGGGGCATGTGGACATCCTGGTCCCATGGGGCATCATGCTTTGCAGGCACCGCTCATTTTCCTTCTTGCCTCTTTCTTCTGCAGGGACCTGAGTGAGAACTTCATCCAGGCCATCCCCAGAAAAGCTTTCCGCGGGGCCACCGACCTCAAGAACCTGTGAGTCCCGGCAGGGATGGGCACAGGTGGCACAGGGGAGTTTGGGGTTGGGTTTGGCAGCAGGAGGCATCAGAAGCCAGTGGTTGCTTTCCGCCTGGGCTGTCCCAGCAATGCTCTCTTTGTCCTTCTCCCACAGGCAACTCGACAAGAACCAGATCAGCTGCATCGAGGATGGGGCTTTCCGTGCACTGCGGGGGCTGGAGGTCCTGTAAGTGGCCAGGGGCTGGCTGGAGCCTCCAGCTCACAAGCCCTGTGTGGGGGTCCTCAGGTGCTCCCTGCTCACCAAGGCGCTGCAGGGACATCCCCAGCGTGCCACCTCTCCCTGGCCCCGAGGAGGGGCTGGGCAGGGGTCTGGTACTGCTTCTGCAGAGCTGTGCTCCGGGGCCTGATCCTACCCCAGAGTTCCACCTGACTGCAGCTGGCTGTGGTGGGGAG